GCCTAGCCGCTCTGCGGCATGTGGGATCTTCCCAGACCGGGGTACGAACCCGTGTACCCTGCATTGGCAGGCGGACTCTCAACCACTGCGCCACCAGGGAAGCCCACTCCAGCTTTCTTTTGATTTCCATTTGCAAGGAATATCATTTTCCATCCCCTCACTTTCAGTCTGTATGTGTCCCTAGGTCTGAAGTGGGTCTCTTGTAGACAGTATATATATGGGTCTTGTTTTTGTATCCATTCAGCAAGCCTGTATCTTTTGGTTGGAGCATTTGATCCATTCACGTTTAAGGTAATTATTGATATGCATGTTCCTATTACCATTTTCTTAATTGTATTGGGTTTGTTTTTATAGGTCCTTTTCTTCTCTTGTGTTTCCCACTTAGACAAGTTCCTTTAGCACTTGTTGTAGAGCTGGTTTGGTGGTACTGAATTATCTTAGCTTTCGCTTGTCTGTAAAGCTTTTGATTTCTCCATCGAATCTGAATGAGATCCTTGCCAGGTAGAGTAATGTTGGTTGTAGGTTCTTCCCTTTCATCACTTTAAATATGCCATGTCACTCCCTTCTGGCTTGTAGAGTTTCTGTTGAGAAATCAGCTGTTAACCTTATGGGAGTTTCCTTGTATGGTATTTGTCATTTTTCCCTTGCTGCTTTCAATAATTTTTCTTTGTCTTTAATTTTTGCCAATTTGATTACTACATGTCTCAGTGTGTTTCTCCTTGGGTTTATCCTGTATGGGACTCTCTTCACTTCCAGGACTTAGGTGGCTATTCCTTTCCCATGTTAGGTAAGTTTTTGACTATAATCTCTTCAAATATTTTCTTGGCTCCTTTCTCTCTCTCTTCTCCTTCTGGGACCCATATAATGTGAATGTTGTTGCGTTTAATGTTGTCCCAGAGGTCTCTTAGGCTGTCTTCATTTCTTTTCATTCTTTTTTCTTTATTCTGTTCTGCGGCAGTGAATTCCACCATTCTGTCTTCCAGGTCACTTATCCATTCTTCTGCCTCAGTTATTCTGCTATTGATTTCTTCTAGTGTATTTTTCATTTCAGTTATTGTATTGTTCATATCTGTTTGTTTTTCTTTAGTTCTTCTAGGTCTTTGTTAAACATTTCCTGCATCTTCTCAATCTTTGCCTGCATACTTTTTCCGAGACCCTAGATCACCTTTACTATCATTATTCTGAAATCTTTATCTGGAAGTTTGCCTACCTCCACTTCATTTAGTTGCTTTTCTAGGGTTTTATCTTGTTCCTTCATCTGGTACATAGCCCTCTGCCTTTTCTTCTTATGTACCTTTCTGTGAATGTGATTTTTGTTCCACAGGCTGCAGGACTGTAGTTCTTGCTTCGCTGTCTGCCCTCTGGTGGATGAGGCTATCTAACCAGATAAGGGGTTAACATCCAAAATACATAAAGAGTCAGTCAACTTAATCACAAAAAAAATCCAATTAAAAAATGGGCAGAAGAACAAAAGAGACATTTCTCTGAAGAGTACCTCAAAATGGGCAATAGATATGTGAAAAGATGCTAAACATCAGAGAAATGCAAATGCAAACCACAATGAGGTATCACCTCATACCTGTCATAATGGCTATCATCAAAAGACAAAAAATAACAAGTGTTGGCAAGGATGTCGAGAAAGGGGAAGCTTCAGGCACTGTTGGTGGGAGTGTGAATTGGTGCAGCCACTACAGAAAACAGTATGGAATTTCCCCCCAAAATTAAAAATAGATCTATAATATGACCTAGAAATTCCACATCTAGGTATATACCCAAAGGAAATGACAACAGGATTTCAACAAGATATAAGCACTCCCATGATGATCACTGCATTATTCCCAATAGCCAAGATATGAAAACAACCCAAGTGACCATTAATGAAGAACGGATAAAAAAGATGTAGAATATACACACTATGGAATATTATTTAGCCGCGAGAAAGGAGGATATCCTTCCATTTGTGACAACATAGATGGACCTTAAGCACATTATGCTATGTGAGTTAAGTCAAAGAAAGTCAAGTATTGAATCTAAAAAGTTAAACATGTAAAAAACAGAGAGTAAAATGATGGTTACCAGGGGATGGGGGTGGCAGAGATAAGAGTAATTGTGTTTAAGGGTACAAACTTAAAACAAGCAGTAATAAGCCATAAAGATCTAATGCACAGTATAATGAATATAAACAATAATATTGTACTATAAATACATAATGTGATAAATATCACTACATCAGCAAACAAACAAACAAAAAGCTGACTCACAGCACTGAACATAAGTATCATTAACACTGTAGTAAACACCACTTGTGGTATCTGCCTAGTATGGATGCACTCAATTAATTTTAAAATGCCAAATCATCAAATACCTGCTTCAACATCAGTTCCACATACCTGAACTTGTATATGATCAATATTTTTTTTGAAATCTACTCAGTGTCATTCAGACTGCTTCATATCTGAACATTCACTTTCAAAGAAGGCCAAGCATTCTAAGTGTGGCTCCAAATGTGACTTGGAGTGAAAAGCTCTAAATATAAAATTTTATCAGATTATATATGTGTTTATAATTATGAAAAAGAAATGTTGCAGTAATTGATGCACTCTGAAAGCTGATTAAGTATAAAAACTAAAATAAAGAACTGTTAAACAGTTAAGTAAATTAACAGTAAAATAGACTGACAGTTAAAATATAAATATTAAGAGAGTATGTATCACCAAAAACCTTTAAGGAAGAACATGTTACCCTCTTTTCATCTAATAAATATTTATAAAAATTTAAATACTAAGGCAAGAAAAAAATAGCAGAGATTAGACCATAGTAAAATAACTTTTAGAGAATTCTTTGGTATACTAACTAGAAAAAGTAAAAAGTAAAAATAAAGCCTGGGTTGTCTCAGGACTATCTGGGAAAATGAGATTGGAGTCTGTCTTCCTATAGTACTACTTTCCTAGAAACTACAGAGGTAAGATAAATGTAAAATGTTTGTCTGCCTAGTTTGCTATGAAACCCCTGATCCCTGGGATTCCACTTAGACTGATGAGCTTCATGTTAGTACAGCATGCAAGCCCTGTACCTATGTGACTAAAATGTAATAGAAGATTTGTGGGAAACTAAGGCTATGATTTAGCACCATGACGGTCCTCTCAGTCTGGGCTCTTATCAATGGCAGCCATACATGGCCCAGGAGCAAAAGAAGGTACACATATAGGTGGTTGGTGGGCCTCTCCATAAGATGAAGATGCTCAGTATTCTGTATTTCTTGTCTTATATCCTTCCCAGAAGTCTCTAAGGCCGTATCTATCCTAGGTTACTCTTTTCCCTTCATTAGACATTTGATCCAAGCTAGGCTAAAGGAGATTCTTTCAGAAGCTGAATGATACTGACATTAGAAGTTTTGAAAGCCATGTTAATAACAGGACTTTCAAGACAGACTCTTGAATTCCTTTTGATAAGATTCCCACAGTAAATACTCTTCTTGAATTCTATGAAATAACCTTTTATTCTTTTAATGATCTTTTAATTGTTTTAACCTCTTTTGCTTAAGCATTGTTGTAAAATTATACACAAACATATATACAACACAAACAAGTACACACAAAGGTACATATGCAATTCTTATATGTTATTGATGGGGTTATAGAAAAATAACTATCTCAGGTCAACAAAAAGCATGGAAGGAAAAGAACAGAGTGTAATCATATACATTGTGAAGCTAAGAGACACGTAGGAGTTTCATTCCTTCATGGGAGTATCTGACTTAACACTTTGCATGAGAAAGGGAAAAGGAATTAGAGAGCGTCTTCAGCTAGCATAGACGAAGAGGTTGTTAAGATCTTATTTGTTCCAGAAAACATTTATACTTATTTACACATTATGCAAATGAGCATATATTTATATACTCAAACATCTCTTTTACAAAGATGTGAGAATGAACATTAAAATTCCACAATGAACGGTTTAGTGAATAATAGGAGAGAAAAAATTTAGTGAATAATAAGAGAGAAAACATTACCAATTTTATAAATGTTGACTAAAATAGCAAAAAGTACAAAACAGTACAGCTAAATAAGGTAAAGTAATCTAGCTAGGATGCCTGTAAATTACCAAAAGTAAACTTTTTTTTTCAAAAGTAAACTTTTAAGAGCAATAAGAATCTTCCATACACTGACCCACAATGAACCTTATGTAACAGTTCACAATTTGGTGCACGTACTTAGCAGTACATTTATGCCTGAGGAGAAGTTGTAGCACATGGTGCAGAGGCCATGTCTTTACTCAGACAGACAATTTAAATACTGGTTCTGCCTTTTACTGGCTCTGTGATCTTGGGTAAATATCTTAACTCTCTCCACTTCAGTTTCCTCAGGTACTGAGAGGGAAAAGTAATAGATCTTACCTCATAGAGTTTATAAAGACTAAAGTTTCTGAGTATAAGGTATTTAAAACACTTTCAGGCACACAGTTAAAGGTCAATAAATGTTAGCTCTTAATTATTTGGTCTCAATAGAAGCTAGAATATACAGTGTTCATGGCTAATGTTTTTCTATATCTCAATAATTTAAAAATCCGCATTTCCCTCAATGTTTTACAACATTCAGTCATGAGTAATATCATACAAAATATTAAATATTTATCTTTTATGCAAATTATATCTCTATATCTGATATTTGTTATGAAAATATCAAATTTAGTGACATATTCAATTGCATAAATTAAATTTAAAGTACCCTTAATAAGATAAATCACAGGAGTAAAACCAATATATTCTGGATAAAATTGATAGTGTTCAGTGTTATTTTACTAATTTTAACAAATGTATTAAGATAGAACTATTTGGCTCATTTAAAATTTATTTAAGGTAAGACTGGAATCTATTGTATTAAATAAAATTAAAGAATTAAATAAAAGCATGTGGATCTGTAGTATTAAATAAAATGTAATGTTTCTTTTAGGCTCAGTAGCAACATTTTTTCTAAAACATGTATCTTTTTTTAGGTTACCTGAGAACTGATCATACGCTGAGATGAACGAGCAATATTGGCAGGTAGACCAAAGAAACTAGGTTTGTCATCCTCTGGAAGTTTTTCAATGACGGCACGATAGTCCTAAACACAAATAATTAAAAAACAATTTTTCAATAAAGATTAAACTTACAACCACCGAAATCAGAAAGAACCAGAATATTGTGAAGTATTAGATGATTAATTATTCATGTTACATTGTCTAGGTAAATCTCACTTTCAGTCTGTATAGCATTAACTCAGTAACCTAATGGAAATATTCTTTGTCATTACTTTTTCATACTTAAATTATTTGATACTATACTTTCTTATCCTATACTTCTCAAACACTGACTCTCATAAATCATCTTATAATTTTTTTTTTCTATTTTTTAATTTTTCTTTTTTTTTAGATGGAAAATAATCTCCCACCTAAAAAAAATCTCCCATTCCAGATCTTCATGTGCCTCACGGCATGCGGGATCTTAGTATACCGACCAGGGATCAAACCCATGCCCCCTGCAGTGGAAGCACAGAGTTTCAACCACTGGACCACCAGGGAATTCCTATAATCATCTTATAATTTTAAAGCTATTATTCTTTGTATTTATACACTTTATTCATTTTTAAATGTCTGTGAAATTTTCTCATCTAGTGTGGCTAGAGTCTTCTCTCTACCTAGGACTATACATTGACGTATTTCCTAAATAGTAGACTACTACATATCCAAACTGATTTATCCTCATTTGGACACAAAAGAATATATACCACATGATACCCTTTACATGAGTACAAACACAGGCAAAACTAACACAGGCTGTTAGAAGTTAAGCTAATGTATCCTTTGTTGGGGAGGTAGTAACTAGAAGGGAACTTGAGGAGGACTTCTGAGGAGCTGAAAATGTTGTTTCTTGATTGCAGTGCTGGTGGCAATCATGTGTTCAATGTATAAAAATGCACTGCATTGTACATTTATGATGTACACTTTTATGTATATATTTTATTTTTCAATTTAAGCTTCAAACAATAGAGATGAAAGATTTCTCACGGTACACTATCTGAAATAAATATATAATAAATAACTATGTGATATTTCTGTTTGCTCATTCACTCTAAGGTTCTCCCAATAAAAAGTAAACTCCACAGTGCATCAAGAGATCCACAAAGTCTGGAACAGCGTTATCACTGAGCAAATGTTCAATGTGTATTACTGAATGAATGAGTAAGTGAATGAAAGATACTGAAAAACAAAATTGATGGAATAGTTAATAACAAAATAGATAAGATATTCAATAAAGTAATATGTTTAATACTGATTTTTAAGCTTTGTTTTCTGACTTATATCACTAAAACAAAGGAATTTTCTTGAAAAATATCTGAATAAGAGAAAAAGGTACAATACTGATAGAACTATATAACTGAATATATATATTTTGTAATTCATGAAGAAATGTATAATTTTAATACTCTATGTAATGAAAACGTTATTTGGGTATTCACACAAATACAAATTTGTGGCAAAATAAACTAGAATTGAAATCTTTGGGCTACATTTTGTACTATTTTCTGGAAAAGATTATTGCATTCTAGGAGGCTTTTATATGATGACTCAAAGCAAAAAGCTACAGCTGGATAAAATAGATACACATAAACAAAAATGTTGCTATGAAAGCTAGATAAAGCGAATCTTTCTTGTATATTTAGAACTTCTTTAAAATTATAAGCCAGAGTATGAAGATAGATATTTGTTAAATAATATTTGCTTTCTTTCAAATTTAATGTATCAGAGTACTCTCATAACTATGAAGAAGTAGCATATTCTCCCATTCCAGATCTTCACGGCAGCCCTACAATGTAAAAATTTTCCTTGGCCACCCCCTTCATGATTTACCTATTTACTATATACTATTATCATCAATCAGTGATCATTAACTATCCAAAAGTAATAGGACAGCTAACTAGAGTTTAGAGAATCAGGCTGCATATTGGCATAATAAAAAAAAATCCATATTTGTGAATGACAATTGCTTATACATTTGAAAAGAAACAACATATATTTAACAATATAAGAAATTGTTCAAGTTTCTATCTGGTAGTAAATTGAAAATAATTAATTTTACCTACCAAAATGCTGCAGGATTTTGGTAGATATATGGAGTATGGAAAAATGCTTTTCTTGTTCCTTTGGTTTAATACATCAATTATTGAAGAATTAAAAAACTGTTTCAGGTATGACTGAAGAACTCTAAGGTCAAAATAGTTATCTATACGTCCTCCATAAATAGCATTTTCTAGCAAACCATGTACAAATTCCCATTGTACATCTTTGGTACCTATAATTAAAAAAAAATTTTATTCGTTTCATTTCTAAGATATTAGAAAATTTCTAAAACAAATTCTAAAATATTAAACAAATTCCTGGCTCCAGTTATATTTATAGGATATAACAATACATATTTAATTCATTTAAATCATTCCTTAAAATGCTTAAATTAATGTAATGCTCATTAATATTAACAATATTAATACTATAATCACAGAGGGCCTGTTCCAGGAAGGGAGCTACCAACATAGATAACTATAATATGAACTAGGTATGGTGGACAGGAAGGAACCTGGCAAAGTCTGTTTGTTAAAATTCCTCCCTGTGTCCCATTGTCTCTGCATAGCCCAGCAATTTGTTTACCAAACATCTGCTTTTTTGCATCTCCATGTTAACTGCCTTCCTCCCTTCTGAAGTCTAAAACAACTACCCCAAACACCCTCTTTTGTTTTTAGTTGAAGACAGTATTTAAGGTGAGGGTTTCAGCCATTTTGGCAAGTTACTTAGTCTTCCTGGGTCTCTCCTATATATACATGTTATTAATTTTTGTTTGATCTTCTCCTGTTAACCTGTTTCATGTCAGTGTAAATTCTTAGACCAGCCAGAAGAACCCAGAAGGGTAGAAGAAAATTTCTTCCTCCCCAACAGCAGTAAATGCAGGAAACACAATTTTAATCTACCTAGTTAACATCACTGCTAGCATTACTAGTTTAGACTATTTCAGTACTATAAAATTCAATGAACCATTCCCCTTTTTTAATTCTCCATATGTGGAGGTCCCTTAATATCAGGAAATCTTGTAATTATAAGATTATATTTAGACTTCTACCATGAGATTCAGTATCATTTTGAAGCATCTTCCTCTCAACAATTCACTGGTGTGATGTATGTAAAAAAATATGATGCTATTAATTCCATCGCAAGCTTGAAACACAATGATAAACAAATCATTCAAACTCTCTGTGCTTTGGTATCCTCATCTTAAAAGAGCATTAATAATATTTGCCTCAAAGTGATATTATAAAAATCAAATAAATGATCAAAAGCCTTTTGGAAAATTACCAAGTTTCTAAGCAAGCTAAAGTACTAGTACATATCCTCAAAATAAATTGTGTTTCAAAATAAACATTAAAAAAACAACTCATGGAAATCAGAAAACTGATTGGCCTTAGCACAAAATGGGAAAATGTTGGGTCATATGTATAAAGGAGTGGGGGGAGATGCTTCCAGAATGCTGGTAATACACTATTTATTGACTTTGGGCTAGTTACAAAGGTTCAGTTTATGAAAATCTATTGAATTATACCTTTATGTGTACTTTTCTGAGGTATAATTCAAAGAATTTTTAAATAAACAAAAAATTCATTTGGAATACTATTAGGCATTAACTAACTATGGGGAACAAATAAATTAATATCCTATCTACTTCTACATATATACCCAACAGAAATATATTCAAGTAGTCACCCAAAGATATAGTGCAATCATCCCAAACTACCCATGTGTCCATCAAGAAAAAACTTGAAAACTACCTACCAAGAGAAGAAATACAATCATAGAATGGCAAACTATATAGCACTGAGAATAAATGGACAACAATGACATGTAACCATATGGATGAATCTCTCAAATATAATGTTAACTGAAAGAATCCAAAGACTAAAGAATACATGATGTATGATTCCAGTTTTATAAAAACAGGCAAAGCTAATCTATATAGTTAGGTGCCTGGTCTTTACCAAAGGAGTGGGGGTGGGGGAACTTGGAGAATGGTAGTAACTGGAAGGCAGCATTAGAGTAAAATCTGAGGTATTGGTAATGTTCTGTTTCTTGATTAAGGTTCTGCCTACATGAGCGTGTTCAGTTTGTGGAAATTTCACTGGGCTGTAATCTTATGATATAAGTACTTTTTGTACACGTATCATACTTCATTTAAAAGTTTTTAAAATCTCATAAACATGTAAATTAAAATGGGACTCAAACATATCTCAACATAATAAAGGCCATAGATAATAAACCACAGCCAACATCATTCTCAAAGACAAGGATGCCCACTCATGACACTTTTATCCAAAATAGTTTTGGAAGTCCTAGACATGGCAAGCAGAGAAGAAAAGGAAATAAAAGGAATTCAAATTGGAAAGGAAGAAGTAAAATGGTCACTGCTTGCAAATACATCCTATACGTAGAAAATCCAAAGCTCATCAATGAATTTGGTAAAGTTGCAGGATACAAAATTAATATACAGAAATCTGTTGCATTTCTATATAGTAACAACAAAATGTGAGAAAGAGAAATTAAGAAAGTAATCACATGGACCATCACATCAAAAAGAATAAATTACCTAGGAATAGACCTACCCAAGGAGGTAAAAGACCTGTACGCTGAAGCTGTTGATGAAAGAAACTAAAGGCAACACAAACAGATGGAAAGATATATGGTGTTCTTGGATTATAAGACTCAATATTGTTGAAATGACAATACTACCTACCCAAGGCAATCTACAGATTCAATGCAATCCCTATCAAATTACCAATGGCATTTTTCATAGAACTGGAACAAAAAATTTTACAATTTATATGGAAACACAAAAGACCCCAAATGGCCAAATCTATCTTGAGAAAGAAGAATGAAACTGGAGGAATCAGCTGACTTCAAACTATACTACAAAGCTACAGGAATCAAAACAGTATGGTACTAGCACAAAAACAGACATATAGATCAACAGAACAGGATAGAAAGCCCAGAAATAAACCCATGCACTTAGGTTCAATTCATCTACAACAAAGGAGGCAAGAATATACAATGAAAAAAGACAGTCTCTTCAATAAATGGTGCTACATGTAAAAAGCTGGACAGCTACATGTAAAAGAATGAAATTAGAACATTCTCTAACACCATATACAAAAATAAACTCAAAATGGATTAAAGACCTAAATGTAAGAATGGATACTATTTTTTTTTTTTTTTTGATGTGGGCCATTTTTAAAGTCTTTACTGAATTTGTTACAGTATTGCTTCTGTTCTATGTCTTGGTTTCTTGGCTGCAAGGCACATGGGATCCCAGTTCCCCAACCAGGGATCAAACATGCATTGGAAGGTGAAGGCCCAACCACTGGACCGCCAGAGAAGTCCCTAACACTGGATACTACTGATGTAAAACTCCTACAGGAAAACACAGGCACTCTTTGACATAAATCATAGCAATATTTTTTGGATCTGTCTCCTAAGGCAAAAGAAATAAAAATAAAAGTAAACAAATGGAACCTAATTAAACTTAAAAGCTTTTTTACAACAAAGAAAACCATTAACAAAACAAAAAGACAACCTATGGAAAGGAAGAAAATATTGGCAAATGATGAACTGACAAGGGATTAATTTCCAAAATATACAAACAGCTCATACAGCTCAATATAAAAAAAAACAAACAAGCCAACCAAAAAAATGGGCAGAAGACCTAAATAGACACTTCTCCACAAAAGTTATACAGATTGCCAACAGGCACATGAAAAGATGCTCAACATTGATGATTATTAGGAAAATGCAAGTGAAAACTACAATGAGGTCAGAATAACCATCATCAGAAAGTCTACAAACAATAAATGCTAAAGAGGCTGCAGAGAAAAGGGAACCCTCCTACACTGTTGGTGAGAATGTAAATTAGGGCTGTCACTATTGAGAACAGTATGAAGTTCCTTAGAAAACTAAAACTAGCATTACCATATGATCCTGCAATCCCACTCCTGGGCATATATCCAGAGAAGATAAAAACTCTCATTAAAAAAGATACATGCACTCCAATGTTCACAGCGGAACTATTTACAATAGCCAAGATATGGAAGCAACCCAAATGTCCATCAACAGATGAATGGATAAAGCAGATGTGCTACAGATATATATACAATGGAATATTACTCAGCCATAAAAAAGAATAATGCCATTTGCTGCAACATGGATGGACCTAGAAATAATCATACTAAGTCAGAGAGAAAAAGAAAATTATCATATGATATCACTTATATGTGGAATCTAAAAAAATGATACCAATGAACTTATTTACAAAACAAGAAATAGATTCACAGACATAGAAAACAAACTTATGGTTACCAAAGAGGAAGTACGTGGGGGATAAATTTAGAATTTGGGAATAACAGATACACACTACTATATATAAAATAGATAAACAATAAGGGCCTACTATATAGCACAGGGAACTATATTCAATATCTTATTATAACCTACATGGGAAAAGAATCTGAAAAATATATATATATATTATATATATATATACATAATATATATATATATGTACAACGGAATAACTTTGCTGTGCACATGAAACATTGTAAGTCAACTATACTTCAATAAAAAATTAAAATAGAAGAAAACTACAAAAAAATGGGATTTGTCCACATGCTAGACGTCTATCCTTATCCTTTCATGGAAACCAAGTTACAGAATAAATGATGATGCCGTTAATTCAACCAACTATAACAGTGCCTACTACCATGGGCTAGGCCCTGCCACAGATGTTAAGGACATACAGAGTAAACAAAATAGTCAAAGACCTTGCTTAATGTAGATTACACTCTAGTTGGAAAAGACGAACAACATTTTAAAAAATGAATGAATAAACAGGAAAGTATAAGGTAGCAGTAATGTATTAAAACAATTAAACAGAACATGGGGATAGAGAACAATTAGAAAACTACTTTAGATTTGGTGACAATAAAAAACTTTTCTGAAGAGGACACCTCTAGGCTGAGATGTGAATGATAAGAGAAGAAAATCATATAAAGGTTTGGGAGAGGAGCATTTCAGACAGAAGGAAGAGCACCTACCAAAACCTTCAGGTAGGAACAAGCCTGGTTTGTTCAAGGAACAGAAAGAAAATAAATGTGGTTGTAGGTTTTGAAAGTGAATTATATGCTTTACTTTACTTTTCTAAAAAATAAATTTGTTAACTCTGTGGAGAATTTTTGAAAGAATCTATTTCTTGAACTACCAAGGATTGATGAAGTTGAAGGATGAGAACAGAATCTTGATGTGATTTGGGCATGGAGGGGACAGAAACTGCCAAAGCATTGGATGTTTGAGGATAAGAAAAAGAGAAGAATCAAGGATTATTCATAGGCTTTGAACCTGAACAACTACGTGAATGGTGGTGCCATTTACTGAAATGCGGCAGACTCAGGGAAGAGTAGTTTGGCAAGGCTGCAAGATGGTGGGGGAGACAAGAATCTAGAGTTGTTTGGAACAGTTTTAAGTTTGAGAGTCCTATCAACATACTCTCTTCTCTAATCCATCATTGCTCTAAACTCTAGTGTTCGCTTGAGTTGGCCCTGAGCAATAACCCTCAGGGATTGGACCATTCCTGTCTTCAGGAGGCTATTATTTGTACCTTGGTTCCTGATTTCTACTTAATCATACAATTGTGATTCTACAGATTCTTGGTCTACCATATTCTTGAATTTTAACAATTCCCTTGAAAGAGATATGAGTAATTTAGTTGAAGCCTGAAAATTGTGAAGGCCGTGAAGTAAAGACAAAGTCATTCTAGCTTTCTGCTTCCTGAGAGCTACAGATCAACCAGAAATCTAATGGATTATATCAAAACCAATGACCACAATAGATAATATATGAACTTTCACAAGCATGGAATTCAGGACATTAAATACAAAATAAAAAGCAAATTTTATAATAGGAAGTCAAGTCACTCTTGAAAAAAACCCTATTTTTAATAAGAGCTCAAAAATTTTTTTCATTGACACCAGAGGTCAAAGTTTTCATCATTAGAACTTACCATCAAAGAGTCTGTCAATAATGCTGTAACCAGCCCGAAGATCTGATAAAGAAAACTCATAAAACTTGGTCCAACCCTATCAAAACAAATTTTTAAAAAATTAAAGAACTACAAGCAGTGTTAAAATATATATATATCATTGCCCTTATAATCTTAAAAAGAATGTTCAATACAAACTAAAAGAAAAAAAAGACAACTACTGAGAATTTTTAATAAAAACAATAAAACAATAAAACAATACATCTAAAGTAACAGTAATTAAAAAAATAAATTTATTGATCTCTATAGCATGCAAAGGATTTTATAATGTCATAAATGTTTTTATCACTTAAATATGTGGCAGAAGAGTCATATATAGAAAGAACAAATTGGCGTAGTAAATCATTGAGTCTACATAGAGTGTATACATTGAGAGATTTCCTATAATTTGGTCCTTCAGAATTTTGGATTTTCTCTACAAACATGAAAACAGAAATATTATGAAAATTATTTAACGGTCTAAAGGCATATAGTATTATTTTCTGTACATTTGACACACAAAGCATTTATATTGTAACTAAATAAAATTATAAACCTACAGCTAATAGCTACCATGCTTGTATAAAAAGAACATTCAAAGACATTTATATGTGATAGACAATAATATGAAATAATTAAAAATAATTTCTATAGGGTTTTCATCAACTATGACTAGTAATTAGTTTTATGCAATAAGTTCAAACTAAAATCTATTTAGACTTGAATACTATTCAGAAATATTGATACAAATTTAATTTATTCATTCATCATTCAAAAAGATTTATTAAGTGCACATTATATATCAGGCTCTGGGAATAAAAGAATGAGCAAAAACATATATAATCCCTGTTTCCATGTAGCTTTCAGTCAAATATCAGGGGAGGGGTGGATACAATCAATTACTCAAATACACATACAATTACAAACTATAATATGTTTAAGGAAAAGAAACATATTTGGTATATATAAGAAAGAGCTCTGACCTAATATAAAAGATAAGGGAAAGTCACCCTGGTGGGGAAAAGTTAAGAAATGACAGAAAAACAAAAGTAGATAGATAGATAGGACAATGAAATGAAAGAAGTTTTGTATTGGATTGTAATGGAGGATGAAGATACCAAAGAGAGAGGTATTAAGAATGACTTCTAAGCTCATGGCTTATTCAAATTGATTTTGGCATCATTCACTCACAGGTGGAACACTGAAAGAATACAAGGTTTGGAAAGGGATAACATGAAATCAATGAACAAAGTGTTCAACAAAAAATTACTGAGTGTCTGCTATATACTTGGCACTGTTTTTGTCAATGAAAATACAGCAGTAAACAAAAGAGGCAAAAATCTGTGCTCTTGAGAAGCTAATGTTCTAGTACTTGGATCTAGAATATGTGCATCTTCAGTCATTTTTGAGACATCTAACTAGATAGGTCAAATAAACAGTTGGATATATAAACCTAGATCTTAGAGAGTTGGTCTGAGTTGGATATAAAAATTTGGAGGTCACTAGCATTTAGACAGTTATTTTTTTAAAAAAATATTATAGATACTGTGAAAACAAAAAAGATTTCAGTTAATTATACCTAAGTTAAACTACACCTAAGAATTAAAAATCTGTAAGGGAGACACAGACCTTCAAGATGGCAGAGGAGTAAGATGTGGAGATCACCTTCCTCCCCACAAATACATCAAAAATACATCTATATGTGAAACAACTCCTACAGAACACCTATTGAATGCTGGCAGAAGACCTCAGACTTCCCAAAAGGCAAGAAACTCCCCACGTACCTGCGTAGGCAAAAGAAAAAAGAAAAAAAAGAGACAAAGGAATAGGGATGGGACCTGCACCTCTGCGAGGGAGCTGTGAAGGAGGAAGTTTCCACACCCTAGGGAGCCCCTTCCCTGGCGGACATGGGGGTTGGGCGGGGGAGAAGCTTCGGAACCACAGAGGAGAGCACGGCAACAGGGCTGCAGAGGGAAAAGCAGAGAGATTCCTACAGAGAGGATTGGTGCTGACCACCACTCACCAGCCTGAGATGCTTATCTGCTAACCTGCCAGGGCAGGTGGGGGCTGGGAGCTGAGGCTTGTGCTTCAGAGGCCAGACCCCAGGGAGAGGACTGGGGTTGGCTGCATGAACACAGCCTGAAGGGGGTTAGTGTGCCACAGCTAGCTGGGACGGTGTCCAGGAAAATGTCTGGACCTGCCAGAGAGGCAGGAGACCGTTGTTTTGGGGTGTGCAAGGAGAGAGGCTTCCTGCTCCGAGTGCCCACAGATGGCAGAGCACTGCCTAAGCGAGCCCCAGAGACAGGCATGAGTCGCGGCTATCATCTCAAACTGCAGAGGTGAGCGAGGACTGCTACTGCTGCCGCCACTGCCACCAAATATTCTGTGTGCAAGCACAGGTCACTACCCACATACCCCCAGAAGCCTGTGCATCACGCCACTTCCAGGGTCCCATTATCCAGGGTCAACTTCCCTGGGAGAACACATGACGTGTCTCAGGCTGTTATAACGTCACACAGGACTCTACTGCTGCAGACACACCCCGCATTGCAATTGAGACTACCATACCCCTTCCTCTCCCCAGTCTGAGTGAGCAAGAGAGCCCTAATCAGACGCTGTTTTAACCCCCTCTTGTCTGGGCAGGGAACAGATGCCTGTGGCTGGCCTACAAGCAGAGGCGGAGACAAAATCAAAGCTGAGCCCAAGGAGTTGTGCAAACAAAGAAGAGAAAGGGAAATTTCTTCATGCAGCCTTAGGAGCAGTGCATTAAATCCACGCAGTCAGCTTGGTAAACCCTGCCGGTGTGGAACACCTGAATAGACAATGAGTGTTCCCAAAACTGAGGGGGTGGACTTTGGGGGCAACTGTGAACTTGGGGTTTGCTTTCTGCATTTGATTTCTTTTTGGTTTCATGTTTATCTTAGTTTAGTTTTTAGTGTTTGTTTTCATTTGTGGGTTTGTTTATTCATTTAGTTGCTCTCTTCCTTTTTTTTTTGAAAGGAAATCAAGAAAACAGAAATCAAGACAGTATGGTACTGGCAGAAAAACAGAAATATAGATCAATGGAACAAGACAGAAAGGCCAGAGATAAACCCACGCACATATGGTTACCTTATTTTTGACAAAGGAGGTAAGAATATACAATGGAGAAAAGACAGCCTCTTCAATAAGTGGTGCTGAAAAAACTGGACAGTTACATGTAAAAGAATGAAATTAGAACACTCCCTAACACCATATACACAAAAAAACTCAAAATGGATTAAATACCTAAATGTAAGGCCAGACACTATAAAACTCTTAGAGGAAAACATAGGCAGAACCCTCAACGACATAAATCACAGCAAGATCCTTTTTGACCCACCTCCTAGAGAAATGGAAATAAAAAGAAAAATAAAGAAATGGGACCTAATGAAACTTAAAAGCTTTTGCATAGCAAAGGAACCCATACACAAGATGAAAAGGCAGCCCTCAGAATGGGAGAAAATATTTGCAAATGAAGCAATTGACAAAGGATTAATCTCCAAAATATACAAGCAGCTCATATAGCTCAATATCAAAAAAACAAAAAACCCAATCCAATAATGAGCAGAAGACTTAAAGGGACATCTCTCCAAAGAAGATATACAGATTGCCAACAGACACATGAAAGGATTCACAACATCACTAATCACTGGAGTAATGCAAGTCAAAACTACAATGAGGTATCACCTCACACTGGTGAGAATGGCCATCATTAAAAAATCTACATACCATAGATGCTGGAGAGCGTGTGGAGGAAAGGGAACTCTCCTGCACTGTTGGAGGGAATGTAAATTGATACAGCCACTATGTAGAACAGTATGGAGGTTCCTTAAAATACTAAAAATAGAACTACCATATGAGCTAGCAATCCCACTACTGGGCATATACCCTGAGAAAACCATAATTCAAAAAGTGTCATGTAGCAAAATGTTCATTGCAGCGCTATTTACAATAGCCAGGACATGGAAGCAACCTAAGTGTCCATCAACAGATGAATGGATAAAGAAGGTGTGGCATATATATACAATGGAATATTACTCAGCCAGAAAAAGGAACGAAACTGAGTTATTTGAAGTGAGGTGGATGGACATAGAGACTGTCATACAGAGTGAAGTAAGTCAGAAAGAGAAAAACAAATACCGTATGCTAACACACATATATGGAATCTAAAAAAAAAAAGAAAGAAAGAAAGAAAATGTTAAGAAGAACCTAGGGGCAAGATGGGAACAAAGATGCTGACCTACTAGAGAATGGACTTGAGGATAAGTGGAGGGGGAAGGGTAAGCTGGGACAAAGTGAGAGAGTGGCATGGACATATATACACTACCAAACGTAAAATAGATAGTTAGTGGGAAGCAGCCACATAGCACAGGGAGATCAGCTCAGTGCCTTTTGACCACCTAGAGGGGTGGGATAGGGAGGGTGGGAGGGACGGAGATGAAAGAGGGAAGAGATATGGGGACATATGTGTATGTATAACTGATTCACTTTGTTATAAAGCAGAAACTGACACACCATTGTAAAGCAATTATACCCTAATAAAGATGTTAAAAAAAGAAGAAGAAGAAAAAAGATGTAGCACATATATACAATGAAATATTACTCAGCCATAGAAAGAAATGAAATTGAGCTATTTGTAGTGAGGTGGATGGACCTAGAGTCTGTCATACAGAGTGAAGTAATTCAGAAAGAGAAAAACAAATATCGTATGCTAACATGTATATATGGAATCTAAAAAAGAAAAACAAATGGTCATGAAGAACCTAGGAGCAAGACAGGAATAAAGATGCAGACCTACTAGAGAATGGACTTGAGGATAAGGGGAGGGGGAAGGGTAAGCTGGGACGAAGTGAGAAAGTAGCATTGACATATATACATTACCAGATGTAAAACAGACAGCTAGTGGGAAGCAGCTGCATAGCACAGGGAGATCAGCTCAGTGCCTTGTGACCACCTAGAGGGGTGGGATAGGGAGGTCGGGAGGGAGGCTCAAGAGGGAGGGGATATGGGGATATATGTATACATAGAGCTGATTCACTTTGTTATACAGCAGAAACTAATACAACATTGTAAAGCAATTATACTCCAATAAAGATGTTAAAAGAAAAAAATGTGTAAGGGATACGTACCCATCGGTAGTTAACAAAGTTCTCATAACATTTTAAATAAACTTTCTACCAACTCAAAACAAAGTCTTATTAATAAAATTTCTTATATAACTCTATTAGATCTTATTTGTGAAGAAAAATGCTCATTTCAACATTTTAAAAATACCTTAAAAATTGATCAGTATTCATAAAACTCTCAAGACTGTTGCTATCTATATTACTTAATATAGCAGCTTCCAACTAAAATACTAATTCTGAAATAAGAACTATACTCTGTAAAGCACAGTTACTGATATACTGCTAAATGATTAATGATTTTTTTAAAATATGGTACAAAAATTTGAATGGTAATTTTTGTTATTCATATCACAATTCCTGACAGAAATTATGTTGTAAATTGTGGAGAGATTCTCAGTAGCCAATCAAATCCTATTTATCTGAAATGGAAATCCAGGCACTGTGTAAAGTGCTCTTATGAATGAGATTAAGCCTGTTATAAAGGTACTCACAAACTAGTAAGAATAACACAATATCAAAGAATACCAAATATAAAACAAAACTGACATTACATCAAGTGCAGTATTAGAGGTACAATATACATGTGTAAAACAGGGAAGTTAACACAGCAACACAATGAAAAATAGCAAAGGAATAATCTTTTACTAACACAGGAAATGAAAACTAAGTTGAATTAACAGTGGATCTTTACTTCTCAAAGTTGGCTGTTAAAAAAAGAAAGCAAAACCAAATAAGGAAAAGAAGTAAAATAGAGTTTGTGGATTTCATATCCCTATTATGTGACATCTAGCAATTAATGGCATTCAATATTTTGTCTGCTTTTACCTCTAAATTTATGATTTTTATCAGAGCAGAATGTTTTTTTAAATGACATTTTCAAATATTTTTGTTTGTGTGAAAATGAATTGCTATATCCTCTATGTAGAGCATTTTGGTAATATTCATGAACTTTTAAAAATACACATATCTTTTGAAGCAAACATTATACATTTAGGAATTGGCCACCATGAACAAGTGTTAAATGAGGCAATCACAGGGATATCCATTGCAATATTTTTTGTAATAGCAAAGATTGAGGAAAATATTTATGCCCATCTAACAATACAAACTGCCTAAAAATATTTATACGGATATCATGAATACAAATCATATTTTAAAATTAGGTGCTAAATGGGTACTAATATTTAATAATCTCTAAAATGTATTGGTTAATAAAGCAAAGTACAGAACTGTATGTATAATGTGCTGCCATTTGAATTAAAAAAGAACATATGTGTGCATATAAATGCATAAAATATATTTGTGTATTTATATAATATCTCTGAAGGACATCCAAGAAATGGTGGACAGTAGGTGCCCTGGGAATACAAACTGAGTGGCAGGGGATAAGGAGGGAGGAGACTAAATCTTAATTTGCAAGCTTTTTCATAGCTTTTTAATTTATACTATGTGCATGTGTCACAATAAAAAATGAAAACTGGGCTTCCCTGGTGGCCCAGTGGTTGAGAGTCTGCCTGCCGATGCAGGGGACATGGGTTCGTGCCCCGTTCCGGGAAGATCCCACATGCCGTGGGGCGGCTGGGTCCATGAGCCATGGCCGCTGAGCTTATGCGTCTGGAGCCTGTGCTCCGCAATGGGAGAGGCCACAACAGTGAGAGACCCATGTACCACACACACACAAAAAAAACAAAAAACAAAACAAACCAAAAAAAACTAATTTTGTTTTTAAAATGTAAATTTTGTTTTCTCATAAAAATGCATCACTATGACTATTCTTCATGTATGTGTCAGGATTAACTGATACATTACCTAAGGATGAATATCAGAGAAATTAGGGGCAAAGGCTTTAGAAGATGGTGAGCCTGCCCATTTCCAAGCTCAAGTTAATTACCATCGAGATTCACTGTCCTACCTTTGTAAAATAAAAATAATAAGCGTACCCTTTAATAAGTATAGTGTGTAAAATATATGAAACAAACATTGCTATTATTATTTACTATTTCATTCGTCTGACAAATATTTATTGATAGGCTATACCAAGCACTGTGTTAAGCACTTCTAAACATACACTATTTCATTTAATCCTCACAACAAAGGTAAATATGATCATTATTCGCATTTTACAGTCAAGGGGATAAAGTAATTTACCTAAGGTAATACAGCAAGGAAATTCTAGAGTCAGGACTGAAACTCCAGAACCTATGCTCTTATTTTGACATGCAACTGAAATACAGAGAAAGGCTAAAAGGTAAGCAGATGGGGAGGGCAGTTTGAGGAAAGATTATCCCAACAGAAGTAGACAAAGTTTAAAAAAAGAGGATGGTTTCCCATTCATTTAAAGATGGAAGAAAGCTGAAATTTTTGCTAAGATAGGCATTTGGCAAGAAGATCAGAGCATGGTACCAGCTAGGACTGCCATGGCCATGAAAAACTGTGCTCTATTGGTGGTTTAAAAATAAAATCTAGAGCCTATGGTGAGAAAGCTTGATGGATTAAAAGACCATAAAGAAGTCCCATGTGACTGAGGTGTAGAGAACAGATAGAAAAAAGGGGCCTGGGAAGAGGTTGAAAAGATAGGCAAATATTTCCTTCTGGATCATGGTAAGAAATGTGCATATTTTTTCCCAAGTACAGTGGAATTCCATTTGATGGGTGTTAAGCAGAGGAGTGAAAAAATCAAAATTACATATTAGAAAAATAATTCTGGCTGCTAAGTGGAAAAAGCAGGAAGAAGAGTTAGAAAAGTAATTCAGGTGAGAGGTGATGAGGCTTGAAAAGAATAGTGAGGAGAAATGTACAGATTTGAATTACATTTTAGAAGTAGAATCAACAGGATTTAAACACAAGTTGAGTAGGGAAGAAAACCATATCAAGAACAACTCCTATGCTTCTAACTTAGGAAAGTAAACAGATATCAATGCCTATTATTGAGCAGAATATACTAAAGGGAAAACAGGTATGGGAACTCGGTTTTTGAACATTTTTGAACTGGTGAGATATTAACCATAAAAATGATACCTAACAATGATGAATTATGATGGCTCACACATTGTTCTAAACACTTTAATTCAAAAACATGTGAACTAGATAACTATATACAGTCCAGAAGATTAACAGAGAAGATGGAATCAGAGATATAAATTTATAAATCATGAATCAAATTAAGAAGTAATCCTAGCTATTTATACTAAACTGTAAAAATATTCTAATATGAAAAAATGTACACCTTAGACTATATCCAAGACATATTCTTACTTACCTGTGGAATGTAATTTCTTCTTTCTTGGCATGCAGCATGAAACCAAGCAAAACTGAAGAGAGCATGAGCTCGATGTATATTATCTTTTTTGCTAATTTGCTCAGAAGTCCAAGATTCATAAGTACGCATTAAATTTTTCTTCAAACCTGGAGGTGACTAGAGAAAAAACAAACATATTGTTTAAAACCTTACAAATAAAATATATCAGTATTTAACATATTGAGAACATATTTAAAGGCAAAAACTTTTCACAATTACCAAGTTTGACTTAAATTATTTTATGTTACTTCAAAATGTACAAAAGAAGATGTAGCACATATATACAATGGAATATTACTCAGCCATAAAAAGAAATGAAATTGAGTTATTTGTAGTGACGTGGATGGGCCTAGAGTCTGTCATACAGAGTGAAGTAAGTCAGAAAAAGAAAAACAAATACCATATGCTAACACATATATATGGAATCTAAAAACAAACAAACAAAAAGATTCTGAAGAACCTAGGGGCAGGACAGGAATTAAGACGCAGACATAGAGAATGGATTTGAGGACACAGGGAGGGGGAAGGGTAAGCTGGGACAAAGTGAGAAAGTGGCATAGACATATATACTACCAAATGTAAAACAGATAGCTAGTGGGAAGCAGCCTCATAGCACAGAGAGATCAGCTCAGTGCTTTGTGATCACCTAGAGGGGTAGGATAGGGACGGTGGGAGGGAGACTCAAGAGGGAGGAGATATGGGGATATATGTATATGTACAGCTGATTCACTTTGCTATAAAGCAGAAACTAACACACCATTGTAAAGCAATTATACTTCAATAAAGATGTTAAAAAAAAACGTACAAATATAAAACTAGTTTTAAACTCCTTATACCTAATAGCTCATCTCAATTAAAAATCCAAAATAGGGCTTCCCTGGCGGTGTAGTGGTTGGGAGTCCTCCTGCCGATGCAGGGGACACGGGTTCGTGCCCCGGACTGGGAGGATCCCACATGCCGTGGAGCGGCTGGGCCCGTGGGCCATGGCCGCTGAGCCTGTGCGTCCGGAGCCTGTGCTCTGTAACGGGAGAGGCCACAACAGCGAGAGGCCCGCGTACCCCGCCCCCCAAAAAACCTACACAACCAACAATATTCAAAATAACCAAATAAGTTTTACATGATCATTAAGGTGTTTTACTGAAACAAAACCATCATTTACAGCACGAATTATGATACTGATTATCATCAGGCAGGTGTTTTTGACTTCAATACGCCAGTTCTTTCTCTCCAGTACTACCTGAATTTCCATAAGGACTTCAAATTACTATTTACATGTAATGTCAACTAATCTTCCTTGAACATCAGTCCACTTTACTTAAGGTGGGTATTACCTGACATTGCTAGGCTTATAAAACAAATTCAAACCCGGGAACCGAAACTGTACATTGGACTAGTACTAGTAAGAAAACACTTATCCACACGTCCAAAATCTGTTTATATTATTTTTTTTAATTATCAAAATGGAAGAAAAAAATTTTTGAATTCTTGGAAAAAGACCAAAATAAATCCATTTCAAAAGTTACCTTGTTTTATAGATAGCTAGTGGGAAGCAGCCACATAGCACCGGGAGATCAGCTCGGTGCTTTGTGACCACATGGAGGGGTGGGATAGGGAGGGCGGGAGGGAGGGACATGCAAGAGGGAAGAGATATGGGAACATATGTATATGCATAACTGATTCACTTTGTTATAAAGCAGAAACCAACACACCATTGTAAAGCAATTATACTCCAATAAAGATTTTAAAAAAAAGTTACCTTGTTTTAAAAGTTTTTTTTTTTCCTTCAAACTGGTTTCTAACATTAATGAAAAATTCAGATCAGTACATTAAGAATGCCTGCCACAAAAAAAATAATAATTTCCTTTGCAAACCTTTTCATTCTGTTTTCTCTTAAATAAAAACTTTTGTTTTATTAAAAGAAAAAGTGCCTAAGCATATTTTTTTACTAAGTGCATTTCCAAATGCACACTTTTAAATGAAAATGTTTTGTTTATGAAACAGTTACCAAAAATTTTCATAGAAAAGACAAAATTTTCTGAGCACTAAGGAAACTGAACAACCACTTAGGGTTTTCTTTTTCTTTTTCTTTTTTTTAAGACCCTATACTAAAGGTTATGCAAAATGAATAAATCATGTACAATTACAGAGAAAATCATATACAAATAAAGATTATTAGAAAATGACAAAACAGAAACACTAGTATGTCAAGTTATGAGATAAGGTAACATATATATTCAACTGAAAATTCACACTTAAAATAATTTCAATATTAATTCAAGTTAATTAAATCAATTAAGCATTCAGCATAAGAAATCAGGAAGAATGAAATCCAGTACAAATTAAGGAAAACATAAGGAAGAAAAAATAATGAAAAGAGCAGGAAATTCAGTGAATAGAAAAGAATTAATAAGAAAAAGTAAATCAGAAAGTATGACATTGGTTATTTGTGACAAATTTTTTTCTATTTTTTAATTTTATTTTTTAAATTTTTATTGGAGTATAGTTGATTTACAATGTTGTGTTAGTTTCTGCTGTAAAGCAAAGTGGATCAGTTATACATATACATATATACACCGTTTTTTAGATTCTTTTCCCATATATACGGGAAAAGAAGAGTTCCCTGTGCTATACAGTACGTCTTCATTTGTTATCTATTTTATAATTCTATTTCTGTTTTGTAGATAAGTTCATTTGTACCCTTTCTTTAGATTCCACATATAAGTGATAACATATGATATTTGCCTTTCTCTGAAAATTACAGGACAGTATCACTGATGAACATAGACGTAAAACTCATCAACAAAATAATAACAAACCAAATCCAACAATACATTAAAAAGATATTACACCATGATCAAGTGGGATTTGTCCCAGGATGCAAGGATTTTCAATTTTCATGAATCAATCAATATGATACACCACATCAACAAACTGAAGAATAAAAACCATATAATCATCTCAAGAGATGCAGAAAAAGCTTTTGACAGAATTCAACACCAATTTATGATAAAAACTCTCCAGAAAATGGGCATAGAGGGAACCTACCTCAACATAATAAAAGCCATATATGACAAACCCACAGCAAACATCATTCTCAATGGTAAAAAACTGAAAACATTTCCTCTAAGATCAGGAACAGGACAAGGATGTCCACTCTTACCACTATTATTCAACATAGTTTTGGAAGTCCTAGCCATGGCAATCAGAGAAGAAAAAGGAATAAAAGGATTCCAAATTGAAAAAGAAGTAAAACTGTCACCGTTTGCAGATGACATGATACTACAGTATACACAGAAAACACTAAAGTTGCTACCAGAAACTACTAGAGCTCATCAATGAATTTGGTAAAGTTGTGTGATACAAAATTAATACACAGAAATCTCTTGCATTCCTATACACTAACAATGAAAGATCAGAAAGAGAAATTAAGGAAACATCCCATTTACCATCACATCCAAAAGAATAAAATACCTAGAAATAAACCTACCTAAGGAGGGAAAAGACCTGTACTCAGAAAACTATAAAATACTGATGAAAGAAATCAAAGATGACACAAACAGATGGAGAGATATACCATATTCTTGGATTGGAGAAATCAATACTGTGAAAATGACTATACTATACAAAGCAATCTACAGATTCAATGTGATAAATTTTTAAAAACAACTCCAGCAACTCATCAAAAAGAGAAGAAACAAACAATAAAATGAAGATTCCACAATTTTTAAATACAATAAAACGTATGTGTACATATGTGTACATATACACAGTAATAATTTTGAACATAATGAACTGCACTATTTCCTGGAATAGTTAAAATCATTTACATTGATTTAAGAAATAGAAAAAAAATTCACCAGTAACTTAAATGAAACTGAAAATTTCCATAAAAATATAATCAAATTACTTCCTAAAAAAGGATACTGGAAGAGGCTACACATTAAGTTAAAATTTTCAAGGAACAGTTCCCCTGATATATATTAACTCTTCATTTATTGAAATATTACTGTATTCTTCCTACATGCCAAGTATTATATAATAAATTTAAAAAAAAGCAAGAAAAAACATAGCCCTTGCCTTCAGGGCTTGTACAATCCAGTTCTGCAATATAGTTTAGTAGAAGAGTATACTGAGAGAGTGGCTGGAGAAGTTCTCTCTTACTAGACATTATAATTGACATTCATTCAATTAATATATTTCCAAATATTAAATCATTTTTGCATTCCTTGGATTAATGCTTAGCTTTTTTCTTCCTTACATGAGACTTAATGCCTTCAGGTGGAAAATGGAAGTACTGATCTAAAATAACAGGTAGTTATAAACACCAATAAGATTTTTCATCAGACAAGAGATTATATAAGAGATTATATTCTACAAGTTGAGAGAAAATGCAAGCAGAACATTTTAAACTAGTTTTTTAAAAGTTTTAATTCATTTTCTTATCATTATTTCAGTTATGACTTGGACGAGTTCCACAATATCATTACAAACACATAAAGTTTTGGATGCATCAGGTTTGGGGAGGATCTGCCAAGCATTACACGTTAGAAGGATGGACTGATGGACAGATGTATGGATGAGTGGATGGGTGAAGGGAACGAATGAACGAAAGAAGAAAACAAAGACTGAAAATCTAACTTAGCTATGTCAAAAAACAAATGATATGAAAACTGGATATTCATGTGCAAGAGTGAAGTTGGACCCTTACTTTACACTTAATACAAAAATTAACTCAAAATGCATTAAAGACCTAAACCTAAGACCTGAAACTATAAAATTCCTAGAAGAAAACAGGGGAAAAGTTTCTTGACATTGGATTTGGCAATGATTTTTTTGGATATGCCACTAAAAGCACAAGCAAAAAAAGCAAAAACAGACAAATGGGACTACATCAAACTAAAAACATCTACGCAGCAAAGGAAACAATCAACACAGTTAAAAGGAACCCCTAATGGAATGAGAGAAAATATTTGTAAGCTGTATATCTAATAAGGGGTCAATATGAAGAATACATAAGAAATCTGTACAACTCAACAACAAAAAATCCAATTAAAAATGGGCAAAAGACTTGAATAGACATTTCTCCAAGGAAGACATACAAATAGCCAACAAGCATATACAAAGATGTTCAACATCACTAAATATAGAGAAATACAAATGAAAACCACAGTGAAATATCACCTCACACTGTTAGGACAGCCAGTATTAAAAAAAAATACAGGAGACAATAACAAATGTTGGTAAGGATCAGAGAAATTGTGTGCTGTTGGTGGGAATGTTAAATGGTATACCACAGTGGAACAGTATGGAGGTTCCTCAAAAAATTAAAAATAGAATTACCATATGATCCAGCAATCCCACTCTGGGTATATATCCAAAAAAAACTGAAAATACGATCTTGAAGAGATATTTGCCCACCCATGTTCATTGCAACATTATTCATAATAGCCAAGAGGTAGAAAATCTAAATGTCCATGGGCTGATGAATGGATGAAGAAAATGCAGTACACACATACAATGTGATATTATTCAGCCTTAAGAAAGAAGGAAATGCTGTCATATGCTACAACATGGATGAACCTTGAGGACATCATGCCAAATAAAATAAGCCAGTCACCAAAAGACAAATACTGCATGATTCCACTTATATGAGGGATCTAAAGTAGTCAACTCACAGAAACAGAAAGTACA